ACCCAGAGCCCCCCCCCCCCCCACCCCCTTTGACTGAGATAGAAACCTGCCAAGAGAGAGGCGATGGGGTGGTGGAGGGATGCTGTGAAACTTGTCGTGAGACAAAGGTGAGAAACTGCTATATTTACCGACTTTCTCTTGCGCTGATTGGATGATTACCGGAACGTGCTCCTCCCGAACTTTGTTACATAAAACTTCAAATAAATTATTTGGAGCTCCTTACTGTTTGGAAGGCTCTGAATCATTTTCAGCCCCGCCTGCAAGGGCATCACATGCTGGTGCATTGCGACAACACTACAGCCGTGGCACATATCAACCGCCAAGGGGGGATGCTCTCCTCCAAGCTTCATGCTCTAGCTCAGAAGCTGTTAGTATGGAGCAGGCGGCACTTTCTGTCATTACGGGTGACCCATGTCCCAGGCATTCTGAACAGGGGCACAGGCCGTTTGTTGAAGAGGAACTCACTCTACGGAGAGTGGTGCCTCCAGCCTCAGATCTGCTATGGAAGAGGTTCAGTCAGGCGGCCATTGATCTCTTCATCTCACATGAAAACCCCCATTGTCTTATGTTCTTTTCACAATTAGCTAAAAATGCACACATCGGTGTGGACGCACTGGCCCACCCATGACCCAATGTGCTTCTCTATGCATTTCCTCCACTCTGCCTAATAACTTCTACTCTGGTCAGGGTGCAAGAACAGAGCCTGACTCTGATTTTGATAGCACCTGAGATGGCCCAAATATCCATATGGCTGGCAGAGATAATCCCTCTTCTGTATGCCAAGCTGTGGCCCATCCCATTACACACGGACCTCCTGTCCCAAGCGAACGGTGAAATCTACCATCCTCACAGACAGGGTGGCCCTCTGGACCTGGCCCGTGAGAGGGCAAACTTAAAAACATTGGGGAACCCCCCACATATTGTTGCTACCATGCAGAATGCTAGAGCCTCTTCTACACGTACCCTTTATGATTGATTGCAAGAGGCGTGTGTTTGAGGAGTGGTGCAAGCTGATATCATATCAGTGCTCAGTCGCTGACATTTTGGGCTTTTTGCAAGACCTTTTTGATGGTGGGAAATCCTTTTACCACTATTAAGGTCTACTTAGCGGCTATCACTGCATGTCATGTTGGGTTTGATGGCACTACAGTACACCCCCTTATTCGTAG